ACGTGAGCGGGAGAAGTGTTTTAACTGGCTTGAAAGGAACCGAATGGAACCAGAGGTTCACAAGCAAATTTCCTGTAACGGTTAACTGTAACTGATGCCTGTCCAGACATGAAAAAGCCTTAAACAATGTCTTATTGTAATAAAAGGAAAAAATCCAATCTTTTAGATGCCTGTGGGTTTGCCTTCTGTCAAGCTTGATCTAAGAGGCTTCATATCGTACAAGTTTACACAACCCAGAACATGAGTTTTTTTGCTCCTAATGCTTCCAAAGAAATGAGAAGCAACTGCTCCAAACCAATATTGGGTACCCAGTAACCCTTCCCAAAAGCCCCTGCTAAGCCTACAAAGGAGAAAACATTGTTTTACTAAATAAAAAGAACTGTTACAGTTGTAAAGAAAGAAAAATTTCATAAACATACATCTGGAAGAATAAATAAATTAAAAAATCTGAAAAAGTTACTTAGCGCTATCTTGGTTTCCAGACAGATGTAGCAGCCACCAAATTCAGCCAATGCCCGCAACAGACCAGGGTGAAGGGAAGAAAGGAAGTAAAAAGGAAGAGTGTGCCTCCTCCACAAGCTCTTTAAAGAGCTTTCACAGAAGATGCATTTTGTGAGGTTTTCAAAGCAAAATTTGTCTACCTTATTGTATGTAAAGCAGCTCTGAGTGTTTGATCCCACGGCTTTACTGCCTGAGCCACAGCTCTTCGTTGCTTCCCCAGCACTCAGGAGCACGACCCCTTCACCTCACAAGCCCAGGTAACCCAAAGGACCCAGAAGATCTTAACCACAGCAGTGCAGAGGAATGCAGAAAGGAGGTAGTGTGACTGCCTTAATTTGTTTCTCTCTCTGGACAAACCCTCCCTGGGAGTCTTCAGGATTGCTGAAGATAGGACTGACTGGCTGGAGGGAGATGGCCCAGCCCCCCTGTAACTGCCTGTAGCTCTTGAATCAGTGTGACCTTCGCAGCCTATCCCCAAGGAAAAGGTTTTGGGCTTGGGTATTCATCGTCTCCCAGGTCTGAACAATTTGCAAACATGGTACTTCTAAGGTAGACAGCCCTTGAGGAGATGGTACTGACACACGGCATGAGGGTCTGAGGACAGAAAGCAACGACCACAAATACCATGACTGAAGAGAAGCCTTAGGCTTTATTTTCAAGATAAACATCAAGGAACAACAGCTTTGTAGGATGATGGAGAAAATAAGAAGTGGCACTGATCGCAAACCACACTTTCTGTCAAACAATCACCAGGAAAGTCTCTCTGGACACTGCTACTTTCAACTGAAGAGGCTGGTTTGCTACTTTCATACCTCAGCAAATGAAAGGACAGTTGTTCAAAGACCTGAAGTCACAGGACAACCCCAGTAAGATGTTATTTACTATTTTAAGTCTTCTGAATGTCTGACAGCGGGATTAATACAACATAAAAGAACAAAAGCCCATAGCAGCCAATTAAGCTGCTAAGCCACATGAAATTGTACCTACTGCTCACCAATCCTGGGAAATAGAAGATGCTGAAAGGAAAGAGGGAGTTGATCTTACTGACAGCACCCAAGAAAGGTGACCTACAGAACCGATCATCTGCCCAGCAGCTTTTTGGAGGAAGCTGCAAAAAGTGTGGGTAAAAGCAGCTGGTCATTATCTACAAGGCTGATGGAACAGTGCAAGAAACCCTGTTTTTAAGGATGGCCATGGACAAACTGAGCAGAGTATTTTCTGTTGTTTGCCAACTTCAGAAAAGTATACAGCTCTGGCAAGTTGGGCATTTCTGACACTGTACAATAACCAAGAAGTGGCTCCAGACTGAAAAAACAAAACCAAACAACTCGATATGAAAAACTGGCAGTCTTAGCCTACGGCAAGCTTATCAAAATCGGTACAACACAATGAGAAACATCAGGAAGGGCAACCCAGGACATTTCTGATTTGTCCTGAGACACCCAAGCATGGAACAGCAATTGTGAAGGCCTCAGGCTGAAGAGACCCAGCAAGGAGATCTACCTGTGATTTCATAAAGACACAAAATAAGGTTTACAGAGGGAGGCTGACTCGCTGATAATACCAAACTGGGGCTGTATATACCGATACAAGCAGAGACAAGGGATGTAGTAGCAGAAGAACGAAGCAGACACAAGGAAGCAGCACAGCAGATGGTAGTTTGCTCAACTTGGAAAGCCCAGCATAGAACCACAGTTGCTCTGATAAGGTAGTAACGAGCCAGGCCCCCTCAGCCACAGCACAACCATCACCTCCAACAATTCCCATAGGCTCTGAAAGTGCATCTGGAGCGTGGGTGTGAGGTCAGAGACCTGCACGTCATACAGCTGGATTCACAGGATTTCTTTGTCTATTGTCTTTTGAATCATTTTCCCTCTTGGTCCATTTTCTCATTAGTCACACACCACTTGCAGATGCTGGTAAAGACTGAAAGTATTCTGTACCTTTCAAATGTACTTTTTTGTCTGCCTCACAGGATACGAACTTCCGTGGCCATTTTCTGCTAAGTAGTCTGGGCAAGTGCGTAACTGCTTGCTTTATAGACAGAGTTATTTTCCTGGCTTATCTCCAGATCACCCTGGAGGGGACTGACACCACCTTATAGAACTAGAAATATTATGGATTCCCCATGTCTACTGACTGGACAATTATTTCAGACACGTCTCCATCCCCTGAAGCAAAGAGAGATTGAAGAGATAGGAAAAATTATTAGAGAGGTCTAGCAACTGTCTGTATCCCACAGTAGAAGTCATGACCTCATCTTCCCACAGGTTAGAAATGCCAGAGTACCGAGGTTGAATGCTATTACCAGTCTAAGGTGAGGAATTTGATACCACAGACTCTGAGGTCAGTGATGTCAATGTCCTGACCTTGCCGCTGCTGCACACTCAGGAGATGAAGGACTTGTTAATGGATCCCTTCCCTGTTACACAGCCAGCATAACGTCCCATTACCTAGACAGCAACACCTGAAACCAGGAAACCAAGCCAGCCTGGATCTAAGAAATACACTTCTATTAAGGTATGAGACTACTAAACCTTAAAGTCAGAGCTTTTTAAACAGTTGTGATTCAACACTGTGACACTTCTCCTTACACAACAGCATTAGGCAGATCCAACAGGAGTCAGCGGTAGCTGAAGTACCGTGGGTTTAGGATACACTGTACCTCTATATGTTCCAAAGCTTTCTGCCACACCAACTGCTTTTCTTCAGCACTGTAGCCAGGCATGGACAGGATGTTGTGAATATAGTTGAAAACTTCTTCCTGTAAGGCATAAAACCATAAATGGTACAGTATGTTCTGCAGCACCACTAAGAGCATTAGATTTTGGTACGGGAAAGTGTGTCAAACATTCTTAGGATGACCTCAGGGCTAGTCGTCTCTTCGCAAGTCAGGATAAGTTATCTGCAGGCGAGATTATATGTGCCTAAATAGTTCCTGAAGAACTGCCAGGAAAAAAAAAGCCAAGAGGAACAGAATTGATGCTAAAAGTGTTAAGCACTGAGGTCAAAGAGAATTATTCTTCCACTAGTAGAAATGTTCCCCTCTTGCTCACAGGGAAAAAGGACAGGACATCACTCTTTAGTTAGGAGTACAGGCAGAGAAAAGAATGCTCTACCAGAGGGTAGGTCAGTTTTCCCAGCATATTCCTGAATTCCTCTTCAACATTAGCCTCTCCCCCAGATTCTCCTGCACTGTCCTCAGCTCAGACGCTCTCCTGTACCATATTTTTTGACCATCTCACTGTCACAACCTATCTCTTCTGACTCCTTCACCCACACAAGTTTCAGCATAGTGGTTTCATAGGGAGTTGGTGAGATCATTTGCCAGACTCTCCTCCCAACTTCTGTTGGTGGCAGGGAAGAGAATACCTCAAAAACTGTGGCAGATACACAATTTATGCGCATGCAGAAGGTAATTGCAAAGAGATAGTAAGGGCAGAGAGACTCTGTCCAGGGGGAGAAAAGAGGGAAATTATGGCAGAAACAAAGTAGTATTGCAGTTGGCAACATTTGCAATAAACCCCACCTTGCACTCAGGTTTTATATATTAGCATTTGTTTAAATTTAAAAAGAAATTAAAAACTCTGAAGCTTTTAAAAAAAAATCAACTCCTCTCCAACACAGAACAAACACAAAAAGCTTCAACTATAGAAACAAAGTAGTATTGCAGTTGGCAACATTTGCAATAAACCCCACCTTGCACTCAGGTTTTATATATTAGCATTTGTTTAAATTTAAAAAGAAATTAAAAACTCTGAAGTTTTTAAAAAAAAAAAATCAACTCCTCTCCAACACACAACAAACACAAAAAGCCTCAACTATAACTAAGAAAACTCAACTGTAAAGGAGGACACTTTTTAAGACAGTGAAGTACGACAGAAGAGCAGGGCTGTTGTGCCCATTCACGCTCTGGCCAGCAGGACAGGCTGCACTGCTATGAAGGAGAAAGGCGAGAAGCATCAGATGTACTCACCTTTCTCACTGGATCACGCAGGTAACAGCCAATTATTTTGTCATAGCGAAGCTGCCGTTCATACATGAACTCGCAAATCTGATAGCTAAAATGAAAAATGCTTTCCACATTAGGAAAAACACACTCACTCAGCTGAGTCAGCAGAATAGAGGTAGGCAGCTCAGATCTAGCACAGCTCGGCAGCACTCGAAAATACAGCACGTTTTACAAAAAACATTTGGAAGCATCTTACATTAAGGTTTTCAGTACACAGGTTGGTATCAGCCACAGGCCAATCAGCCTATCAACCTCCCTCTTGTGGGGAGGTTGTCATACAGAACAGAGAAAACCGGAGTTACTAAGGTGAGAGGCAAGGGACAGAGGACAAAAATCCTTAAAGAAATCAAGTTTCACAGGTTCTGCTGTTCATAGATCATTTTCCTTAAGCTAGGCCAATTCACAATACTAATTTGAAGAAATTCACTGAACATGACTCAATAATGCGTTATGACACAGCTTCCTGCCTTCAAATTTTAACAAACATCTTAAATATTTTGAGACTTTAGATAAAAACAAATGCAACTGAGGCAAAACAAATGGAAAGTCTGCTAAATCACATTACACTACAGGTCTTTTAGCTCTGACGGAAGCAGCTGAGCTGGTGGTTCCGGCTGCCAAACTCTGAAGCAAGGAGGAAAAAAAGGCATTTCTTGAGTCTGAAAAATTTGGCTAACTCCTTCTAGGACACACAGGAAAACAGGCACGGCATATCCCACCACTGCGCTTCTATCCCTCTCGTCCTTTGTAGTATGGTGGATTAATTCACATAACATCCAAATTCACAACTTGGATGAAGATGCCCCCCCAGCTGACTGTTCAGGCACGACAGACTCTTTCTGGAAACGTGAAGCATCTAAAGGAGATGGTGGAAATTTTTAGCCTTTCCAGACACTGTGTTTGTGTCTCTCCTACTCAATTCTAAAAAGAGTACCATGGGGGTGGCTCCAGACCCCTTCGTGCTTTTAAATCCACCTGTGGGTCTCACCCAGCGAGTCATCTCCATCTGTCAGTGGTAGAGCATTCAAATATACAACTATACCATTGAACAAAGCCTAGGCTCTAGGATAGGAAGTGCCCAAACTCATCAAGCCCCACAGGGTTTCATGCTGAAGGGTTTCCACAGCTCTACCCGCTCTTATCTTAACAATGCTTTCTGTGAGAACACTCAGTAGAGATAAGACAGAAAGACTGGGACTAAATATGAACATATTAAATGCAGGATATGTGAACGCACAGGGAAAATAACCCCAAACACAGCTGGAAAGTAGGAACAAGAAACGTGGAGGAAAAAAGCTTTGGAGGAGATTTAAAGGCAGTATTTAAATATCATACACAAGATTTAAAGGCAGTATTTATATATCATATGCAGCAACTTACAATTCAGCTTTTTCTGCCATTTGGATAAGACGGCTCTCTTCAAACTGTACTATCCCTCCCGCCTGGAGCAATTCTAAAAGGACCTGCAGATATTAAGACCAGTTATTTATATTGCAGTAGCAGCCAGACAGCCAGTGGCATTAAAAGTACACTGCTCCTGCTCCATCAAACCAAACACAGGGTTTAGTTTACAGATTTTTTTTTTTTATAATCAATTGTCCATTAACTATGAAGGTCATGTGTTTATCCAGGACTTTTTCTGCCTCTGTTCTTACTGCTGTCAAACCTCTCCTGCAGGCAATGCTGGGGTAGGATTCTCCTTCACTCCTGCTGCGTTCTTCCATGCTGGCCGCCATTCCTGTGCTAGGTGTCTGCTTTGGCAAAAGACCTTCAGCCAACATTCGTTCCCACTGAGGTCAAACTCTGCTCTATGGTCTGGTCATACCTGGTGCTTGAAGAAATGTTCCCTTGAAGAAAAGTTCCTTACCTGTTGCCTTTCCGAATGGCGGGAGTCATCATCTGGACTGCACAGAAATTCAAGGACCTGGGCAAGGGTGTAGAAGTTAGCATGAGTTAGGCCTAGTTAGCAGAGCTATTAGCATAAGCCTAAGCAGCAGACTGTGAGCATCAATAGTGGCAACGGCAAATCAGAACACAACGGTGCAATTTGAATGTACTATTCATGGGTGATGTACTCACTACTTGGTCCTACAACTAAGGACACTTGAGAATATTGGAATAACCAAGAACTGCTGAAAGACTCCAGGGAGGAAAACTGCACTAGGATCTGGAACCAAACTTTGGGGAACCTAGGGAATGTAGAACAACTCAGGGGACTCCATGGCCCTGCCTTGGACTACATACCAAACAGCTGGAATTACTACGCTGACCCTCTCAACTTCTCTCCTGGTCTGTGCCATCTCTCGCAGAAAAAACAGGAAATCATGCAATCCACAGAATTCAATATAACTGTAATTAAAGTGTTTAATCCAAAGCCATTTAGCCTCCACAGAGTTCTTTGGTCTTAAATTATGACAAAGGACATATATTTTCTAAGTAGATTTTTTAAGAGTGTTCATATATCCATATTATCATCAAAGCACGACTGCTGTAGCCATTGAAATCTCCTCCTCAGTCCGAGGAATTTCTGAGACTTAAGCTGGGATATAAACTTAACCCATGCAGGCTTCAGGCATGCAGTGGTGAGTGTCAGCCTATTTCAAACAGCAGAGAAGAATAGCGGTCACGTGAACTACAAATTACCAGCTACATAGACGTGCTCTATAAGCTCACTAATGTTATTTTAGTTGGCAGCCCTTACCTCCTTACCTTGGCACCTTCATATGCATAAGAAGTGACAACAGAGCCACCGAAGTGCTCGCTGAGGCTTAAAGATTAACAGCTTGGTTCCTGCCCTTATGGGCCTTTGCTTTCCCTCTCCTGACACACTAGTGACTACAGGAATCTGCCATTTCATGGAGAAGAGCAGAGGCTGTTCCATCTCTCAGGACTCGATCCTCTTTCTCACACAATTCCAGCAGGGTAGCAGAAATATGGAGCTTACTGCGTTTCTGTCATCTCTCCTATTCTGCTTCTTTGAAACCACAGTAAAGTCCCAGTAAGACGTTATCTGTTTTATAACGCACCAGTACTTCCAGAATTCCTTCAGTCTACAGCACTAGCCACACTTTCTGCAGTGCTGCGTCCTGTTTGGAAGTTTTTTCCACCTCTCACAAAGGAATACTTACCTGGTCAAAAAGCGTCCTGTTCACAAACAACGTGTTGTTGGGTTTGGCGAGCTGACGGGCAAGGAAGGTAAAGAGACAGCCAACCTGCGATGGGGTGAAGTCAGAATTCTCTACCATGACCTGAGAAGCATTAGAGACAAAAGGGGAAAATAAAAAACAACACAAGTGATTGG